CACATACACACATACTTGCGCGGGGTTTCGAAGCGGTTTTCTTTTTTTTCGTTCTCTTTTTTTGTTTTTATTTTTTTTACGGAATAGAAAACAACAATGCCCCCCCCCAAAAAATGGGTGGGTAGGGTTTTTTTAGCCCTACACGCCCATATATATATATATATATTTTTGTTCATGAGTTAAAAAAATAAAGAAAAATCTTGCACCAAACTCGGCTGGTCGGCCTTGGCCGAACCCGACACATTCGGCCGTCGGCCATGACCACGGCCGATTTTTCATCCCTGGTCATGACCGGGCGTGCAACATAGTTGTACATAGTTCGCTGGCTTTAACGTGGAATCCCAACTTTTGAATCCCATCTCTGTTCACGAGAGAACGTTGCAGCAGTGTAGTTTCTCGCCACGACCTTCTACGAGGGTGTGTGTTGTGGGGGGGGGGGGGGGGGGGGGGTGTGTGTGTGTGTGTGTGTGTGTGTTTTTTTTTGTGTGTGTGTGTGGGGGGGGGGGGGGGGGGGGGGGGGGGGGATGTGGGGGTGATTGTATTCGGGGTTGGGATAGATGGGTAGATTTGGTCATGGGCTGTGAGCGGAGGAGGTCTACGGGATCAGTCGCCATTGTACCATTGTCATGTTTTTGTATAGTTTTTTTTTTTTTTTCTTTTTTTCTTTTTCTCATTTTTTTGTTCTTTCTTCCGACCAGACAAATCGATGTTCGCTGCTGGTCAAGCGAGCATCCTTCCATGTTATCATCTTAATGAATTTGACAGTTGTGCACTGCTTTCGTTGTCATTCCATTCTTGCACTATGTGAATGCAAATGTGAGCAGGGATTGATTTGTCAAAATATTGAATGGTGAAGGTTGATGGCGAAAAATTCTTGCAACGAACTCTCTTCTCATCGTTGTGATTTGATTTCATTCAATCCTTACACTTTCTTTCACTTCTTCATCCGTGCACTTTGTGGATGTAAATGTGAGCCGAGATTGATTGGCACAGGGATTGCAGTATGTGAATGTGATATTGAATGCTCAAGGATGGTGGCGAAAAAGTGATGGACAGTCTTGCGAACCATCCGAAAGTATACATTAATTGACGCCATTGCACATGGAACACACACACACACACACATACGTCGTCATAACGCAATGAAGTCATTTGTCTTTGAATCGCAAAGAAACACAATCGAACATTGTTCGTACGCAATAAGCAAATGGCATGCAACGACATCACTTGGGCTCACACCAGTATAAGCAAAGGACACACTGTCGTTGAAAAAGGGAAAAGCCTTCGAAGGCAATCACATTTCCAAGTTCCCACAAAAAGTCATGTCGTACACAGATGCCAACCCGGCGCCCAGACAAGTAACCCGCCCCCC